ATATATATATATATATATTTTTTTTTTTTACAAATGTTTTTGACACTAACTTAACACCATAGATAATTTAACATAGAAGTACTTTTGGCATCAACTGGTGCTCCATACCCGGGTCAAAATGACCTGAACATTTGAAATCGTTATCTTTTTAAAAATTATTTAAAAAATTCGGAAAAAATTAATCGTGTGTTTTTTGAGGGTCTTAAAACGCTTGCAAAGTTTTGTTCCTTTACTAAAAACTATGCAATTTTTATGCATCTCTTCTGGCTCAGAAGAAACCTGAATGCATTATGAGGGCTAAAGGAAAGTTGGAAGTGTTTTTCATCTTTATGATAAACAGTGTTGGTCTTGTTGGGTCACCATTTGATCTCCAAAAGCAAAACCAGTTGAGAACCACTGAACTCCATCACTGATTTCCAGTCAGCAGATCTGATGATCCGTCTGTGATCAGGTGAGTCCAGATGAGGTCGTCTCAAGGCTCCTCCTCCACTTCTCTGATTGGCTGGATGATGTTGCTGGTGGATTTGTACTGATTGGTCTGATTGGCTGTGTGTGTGTTGGTGTGTTTGGTTTGCGTGTTTCTAGGGAAGCTGTTCTCAGGTTCATCTGTGTACCAGTTTTATCTGCAGAATGATTGACATCATTTACTGTACGTCTGAAGCATGAAGTGCACAAGTACATGAATGCAAATTTAGCTACACAAGCTCCATCTCATGCACCGACGAGTTTTGAAATGTTTCAATTCATCACTACATAATGCATTCATAGCAGGGTTATTATAGTATTATAATATTAACTAAAATTACAACCATAAAAATGTTTGTTACTTTAACATTTAATAAACTTTACATTTACAATTTATCTTGTTTTAGCACTGTAAAAAAAAATATGATCAATAAGTCATGATAGCAAGTGTTTGATTAACTCATTAAAATTATTTAACCAATTTTTACATTTTTTAAGATAAGACTTTAAGACTCTAATAATAATAATAATAATAATAATAATAATAATAAAATAATAAGACTAAGACTTTAATTTAGTTTGTTGACATACTAAAATAACTAAAATTAAATAAACTAAAACTACATAATAATAATAATAATAATAATAATAATAACAATAAAAAAACCTATACAGATAAAATATTTTCTAATTGTAAAAGTTTTTTAATTCAAAATATTATTAAAAACTGTATAAAACTAAATAAATTTATACTAGCCAAATAAATTTATAGCCTTAAAAAAAAACTTTCTCCAGCAACTTTTTTTTTTTGGGGTGCAATTATATGTATGTATGTGTCTAAGTTTTTTTATTATTAGAATGCAAAAGATTCACCAGAAAATCTTACAATGCAATGTTTTGTAGAATTTTTTTGTGCATTTGTATATTACTGTGGGGTTTTTTTTTAATGCAAAATATGTATTTTTTTTTTTTTTATTATGTTTTATTTATTTATTATTTTTTTGGTGAAAAGTGTAAGAACTGCTTTCAAATGATTTTGCTGTAATCATGCTCATATATTTGGAAATCAAAACCATGCATACTACAGAGTATGTACTACAGACACGCGAGCTAAATCTCTACAGAGGGTTGCAATGGTAAAAGCATTCTCAGTGTTATGACAGATCATAGATATCAAGAGACCAAGACAACTACTGAACTACAGCAGAGCCCTGAATCTGGAGAAACATGCACTGCAGAGATGACCTTCAGTCAGAAAGCAAAGAATTAATGCTGGCATGACGGATTCAATGCACTTTTCAGCTCATAACCATCTGAATTATGAGAGATGGTTGCAGTAATGACATGCATTTAGTTCCATACCTGAAACCCCTCTATTCGTCCTGGGCACACTTTAAAGAGAGAGTAAATGGAGTAAGTTCAAATGTCCTGATTCTGAGGGGACTCAATCTTTTTTACACACACACAAACACATATACTTAGGCCTATTTATATTGGTGCATAAGTTTAAAAATATTTAGCAATTGACAAAAATAAAATAATAAAAAATAATAATTAATACATTTCTAAAAATAAATTAAAATAAAATAAAAAATGAAAAAATCATAAAATTATATATACACACACACACACACACACACACACACACAAAGTATTTGTACTTTAGCTTTAAAATAGTTATCAATTTACAGTATATAAAATGATTATAATTACATTAAATTATTAAAATCAAAATTTTATTTTAAAATTCTAAAATAAAAAGTAATACAATAAAAAATATACATGAAAAGCACACAAATTGTTATTTTTTAAATAATAAAATGAATATCAATGAAAATGAGGTCCTGAGCAAAAGCAGATGCTTTAAGTGTTTCAAAAGCAAAGACGTCACATCATCAATACAGAAAAAAATACTTTTATTATGTTTAAGATATTGCATACACTAGTTCATTATAATCATATAAGAAAAATCTCTTACACGTGATATTGAGAGAATCAAAACTTTGGTGTGAGCGTCTTACTATAGCAATAAACGTGAATTAAACATAAAAAGCAAACAAACATCCTGCTTGCTTCTTTACATATACTCATCAAACAACTTTATTCTTGCAGCCTCGCAACACTTTCATATATTACGTGAGTTATACCAACCAACCAAACAGCACGCGTTCAGTCCAAAAGAGTTTAACAGCCTTAGAAATATGGAAAAGGTTTTGAATGGAAGATAAAACATTTGTCAAATGAGTCTCAGCACAGAAGCGTGGAGCGACGGCTGCAGGAAAACGCATTAGACCAGCTTGAGGAATAATGCTTCAACGTCAGAAAATCAGCGTTTCCATTCGCTTCATTTGAGATGGGTTTCTAAATCACGATGAACCTGTCCCTAACCTGACCATAAACCCGGTCAGAATCACGCGGACGTTTAGCCTTTGTTTCGCAGTCGTCCAGTAGCGTACGTCTTGATGCGTTTGCTATGCGTTTCTGTCAAGGCTGGTGTGATTAAACTCTCATTCTGTCATCTGTCGTCTCAAGAAGGCAGTGAATGGAAAATAAAAACATTTGGAAAATACTAACATTCTTTATGAGCACATATATATTGATGTGTAAGTACAGTGGGTCCAAATGTCTGAGAAAACACTGGAAAATTTGAAATATAATGAAGTAATATTTCAGATTCTGCACTATTTCTCTGTCACTAATCAAAATGTTTTGTGACACTGACCTGATATTGATTTTGTTCAATTCAAATATATGCAGTTTTATTCATCATGAACTTTACACGTATTTGGTGCATTTGTTTTGTATTTTGTATAGTATTGTTCATTTATTTTATGGATCTGCAACTGATTCAAATTGTACAGTTTTTTTTTTTCTGTTGAAAAATCTACAAAATAATCTAAATTGTTCAAAAATACATAAATTAAAAAATTTGTATTTTAAAGTTTATTTAAATTTTCACTGCAATTTAAGATTAGAAAATGTAATATTCTTTATTAACATTAATTTATTATTTAATATCTTTATTGACATATATTTTTTAGTAGCTGAACATGTAAAACATCAATTAAAATATGTACACTATTGTGATCTTTATATTTGATTAATTTTATGGCATATTTTGTATATTTCTAGTATGTATTGTTCATTTATTTTATGTTTTATAATGGATTGAATTGTGCAGATTTGTCTCTAGTCCTAAAATCCATGAAATGTTTGTCTTACATCATTAAAAATAAATTCAAGTTAATTTAAATTTTAACTGCAATTTATATGATCAGAAAATGTAATATTTATTCATATTATTTATTTACTATTTAATGTTTTTATTGACTTTTTAATAACTAAAAATGCAAAATATCAATTCAAATATGTATTCATCATGTCCCTTATACGTGGTGTATTTGTCAGCATATTTTGAGTATGTATTGTTCATTTATTTTATGTATCTGCAGTGGATTGAATTTTCTTTATTCCTAAAATCCACAAAATGTTTGTTTTACATTATTTGAGTTCTGAAACTGTTGCAAAAAATTCATTTCCAAAAAAATCAATTTCTGTAATAAAAAAAAAAATGTGCAAAAAAAAAAAGTTTATTAATACTATTAGTTTAATATTTACATTTAAATATTTAAATGTACTCACTGAATAATTGAATGTAATTTTTTATGAACTAAAAATGCAAGCCGTCAGACGTTTGGAGCCACTGTATGTGGGTAACATGAGACAGCAGCCGTGTTATATGAGGAATACCAGGATGTAGAAGCACAGAGGCGTGATGCGATGATGAAGCACACGAGCGTTTGTCAAGTCGCTGTTGTCAAACTGTAGGATTAAAGTGCAGTTAAAGTGCAAAATGGTAAAACTGATTCATTATTCGTTAACGCTGGCCGGTGCTTTATACAGATGCAACTAGTATGCTAAAGATGATGTGCGAAGTAAACATTTGATGCGTGTAAAAAAATACAGTCCGGGATTCGTGTTTGTGATAAGAGTCCGCACTGACGCTTACAGAGGAACGTACTTCTGTTTGTCGCGCAGGTCGCGGCTCCGGCTGCGGCCCGGCCGGGCGGATGAGGGGACGGAGTGGGCGGATGGGCTCTTCTTGCTGGGGCAGTAGGTGGAGTGAGTGGACAGGTTGGTGCGCGTCTGGCCGGCGTTGTGGTCAAATTGCATCAGGCAGAAGATCAGATCTGTAGGCACCAGCTCGAAGTCGTACGGAGGATTCGCGATCACGTATCTGTCACGAGAGAAACAGTTTAATTTGACATGTAACAAAAAAGTTACAAACAACCTACTAAAGCAAAGCTCAATAACTATAGCTTTGCAAGAATGCGTTGAATTGATTAAAGCACTAAGCCCCGTGAAGCCGTGGTTTACAGTGAATTTATAACAGCTAAGGGGTGTTGTTAGGCACGACGTGAAGCGGAGCTGTTATAAATTCACTGTAAACCACGGCTTCACGGGGGTTATTGCTTTTATAAAACGGTTATTCCACATACGTAGTAAGGTTTCACAAAATAAAACAGAGCAAATAAAGTGTAATGATATTAATAAAAACAGTATTCTTCCACCAAACAATGTAGCTCCTCAGAAACAGTTGTGGTTGCAACAAAGTGTTTGCCGAGCAACAGACAAACGTAAACAAAGGTGTATGTTTGTAGTGTAATTTACAACAGCTTCGAACTTGGCTCAGCCAATCAGAATCAAGGACCGGAACTCTCCGTTTTATAATACAATTTGTGTTCATGTTTTATTTGTTAGGGACAGATAGGGCATGTATCGTAGTGCTTGTAGCTGAAAACTTAAATTACAGTTACAAAAAACAACAACAACAAGTACACGAATTTACAATATAAGTACACCAAATATGACTACAAGTTTATTGCTGTATCAACCAAGATTTTGTAGCTTTTTAAAAAATTGTTATAATTTGCAATAGATTTTAAATAATCAGGCAATGAATTCCAAAATTTTACACCAAAATTTTTCCAAAAATGTATTATTACATTGTTAGAAAAAACTATATTTCAAATACAATATTTTTTTATATATATTTTATATTTTTTTTAAATAAAAAAATTCTATTCTTTTGGACTAGGCATTGGCCTGATATTGATTTTGTTCAGCTGAAATATGTACAATTTATACAGCAATAACTTTATATTTTCGTTTGTATTTTGTACAGTATATTTCTAGTATGTATTGTTCATTTATTTTATGTTTTGAATGCAATTGATTGATTTTTTTCTCTGATAACAAAATACATTTTAATGTTGAAGTTTATTTTCATTTTCACTGCAATTTATATGATCAGAAAATGTAATATTATTTATATATGATTCATTTAATATTTAGTATTTTTACTGACTTGTAATATTTTAATGTAATATTAACTAAAAGTGCAAAATGCCGGTTGAAACATGTACACTTTATCCACCATGTTCTTTATATTTGCTGCATTTGTTTTGTATTTTGTGTATTTCTTGTATGTATTGTTCATTTATTTTATCTTTTGTAATTTACTGAATTATACCGATTTTTTCTTTATTCCAAAAATCCATGAAATGTTTGTTTTACATCATTTGAGTTGTGAATCTAAATTGTTAAATTGTCTAAATGTTATATTTGGTGCATTTCTCAACATATTTTCAGTATGTATTGTTTATTTGTTTTATGTATCTACAACTTATTGAATTATAAAGATTTTCCTCTATTACAAAAATGCATGAAATGTTCGTTTTACATCATTTTAAAAATTATATTTCAAATTAATGCTACTCTTTTGAACTTTAAATATTCATCAGCACAACACTACATTGATAATAATCAGAAATGCTTCTTGAGCAGCAAATCAGCATATTAGAATGATTTCTGAAGATCATGTGACACTGAAGACTGGAGTAATGATGCTGAAAATTCAGCTTTGATCACAGAAATAAATTACAGTTTAGAACATATTCACATAGAAAACAGCTGTTTTAGATTATAGTAATATTTCACAATTGTACTGTTTTCACTGTATTTTTGATCAAATAAATGCAGCCTTGGTGAGCAGAAGAGACTTCTTTCAAAAACATTCAAAATATTATCGACCGAACACATAGTAAAGCTAGTAAAGCTGGTTCACTCACCGTTTGGTGCACTGGCTGGGTGCTCCCAGATGTGCGTCTCTTAATCGGTAGATTCCAAAACACAACATGTTGTACGTCTTCAATGCTTTACAGAATAAATCACCATAACAGCCTCCATCCTGAAAACACAAGCATAAACATTATATGGTGATACAGATTTAAAGATATTTAATAAAATAGATTCAAACAATTTGAGCATTTGACTTTCAGGCCTCCAAACATCCAGAAAGTCCTGTTTTATATATTTTTAAATTTGATATAAACATATATTTCCCAAAACATGTTACTATAAAACTGCAAAAAAATCAAAGCCATAAATCTAAACAAGCTGTGTTCCAAATTTGAGGTCGATATCACAAAAAACAAAGAGCTTTCAGTAAGATTTTAAGTTTGTGTGCAGTACCAAACATTTCCACGAGATGAAATTTGTTTCCCATTCATTTCCAATGCAGTCATTTTTGACTGCGAGGAGTACAAGTGTGACACTTTTTTTTTTTCAGGACCACTTAACCTTTTCAAATCATATTGATGATTTTTGTGTGTGTTCACATAGCAAATGTGCCAAAACCTTTACCAAGTTCCGTACCATTCAGAACAAGTCAAAAAAAAAAAAAACTGTGTAAAAGAGCACTAGAGGGTTAATGGTGCGTTAAAAAAAAGAACAACAACAAAAATGGAAAGCAAATTTCATCTAGTGGAAATGTTTGGTACTGCACCCAAACAAATAAATAAATAAAAACTTACTGAAAGCTCTTTTTTCAATATCAACCTCAAATTTGGAACACAACTTCTTTAGATTTATGGCTTTGATTTTCACTTACTCTTTTCACTTGAGGGGAACTTACTGTCTTTAGAAAAGTTTAGATGGCATTTTTTCTTTTCATCTTGCCTCTGTATAATGCATATTAAAGGGATAGTTCACCCAAAAATGAAAATTTGATGTATTTAGTTTTGTTATTTACATTTACATTAAATTTTGTTATTTAGCAGACAATTTTATCCAAAGCGACTTACAAATGAGAACTATAGAAGCAATCAAAACCAACAAAAGAGCAATGATATGGAAGTGCTATATTAGTATATTATTATAGTGTTATATTTCAATTTCACAAAGAAATGTGCAGCATTTTGTCCAAGCAATAATAAAAGGACAAATTTTATTTATAATTTGTGCTAAATCTAATTTTGTTAAAAAAAATCGTGAATCGAATCGTGACTTGAGTGAATCGTTACATCCCTAGTCATTTTTGACCTCCACACAAGCAGCACCTGAGGGTTAAACATGAAGCAAATGAAGTAGTAAGAGATGTCAGTCTCACCCCCAGATCAGCAAAGGGGCCGTCGTAAAGCGCCAGCTGTGCGACGCGGCAGCGGTCTCTGTTGGCCAGTGTTTGCGTTGTGCTGTATCCTCCACGCAGCGCGTTCTCCTCCGCCAGCAGACCCTCCAGCTCCGGCGTGGCTCCGCCGGTCACCAGCGTCCGGATCAGAGTCAGAATGTTATCATTGAAGTACGTCTGAGACAGAGACAGAGGGAGAGGAGCGTTACTACTGTGGCTGAGAGAGCTCAACACACTGCAAATACTCACAACACATCCAAATAAAGAAGCGCGCTGCAAAAACAGAAACTCGCTACAAACAGGCAAAGACCACCTCGGAAATGGTTATGGAAGTGACGAACATGGCTGGGACATATTTATCAATGTTTGCTCTCAAAGGTGAGATTTTTGTTTATTTTAACATCCTTCCTTATAGTTTTTTATTTATTTATAATATTAGCCTAAATAAGCTGACGAAATACACAGTTACTGTAACTGTGAAAGGTTATGTAAGCTGGCTAACTTACCTTTACAACTTTCCATCAACCATAGCCTATGGTTTTACTATTCAAATTAATTGATAAATACATTTAGGTTACACTTTATTTTAAGGTGTCCTTGTTACAGCGTAGTTATACATATAAGTACTGAGTAATATTAATTAACTACATGTACTTACTATATGGTTAGGGTTAGGATTAGGGTATCTTGCATGTAATTATGCATAACTAATTGTTATTATAATAGTAAGTACATGTAATATGTGTAACAAGGATACCTTAAAATAAAGTATTACCTACATTTATTATATAAAAACTAAATAAAAACAAAAAATGGTTACTATAGTTAAACCATGTACAAATTAACCATGGATTAACTACACAAACCATAGTTTAACCATGGTATTTGTACAACTGTGGTTATACAATTGGTAATCAATATGCCCCCAAAAAAAAAACATGGTTAATTTTCGTTTTGTTGGGGAAATTTTGTTGTGGTCTGTGCTACTTGTGCATTTCTTTATTTGCTTGTGTTGTGAGCATTTGCAGCACATGTGCTGTCAAACTAATGAAGATGTTTTCTTAATTTGCTGGTGCTTTGCATGTGTTTTCTTAAGTTGCAGAGCCACCGTACATTACAGATGCGGAGCGGTGCGCGAGGCCTGACACCACTGTGTTTGCGTTTACTTACGGCACTCATCAATGAATCCAGCACGCTGACGGCGAACGCTGTCCCACAGGCGAACGGCTGCGTGAGGTACAGCTCTGTGTCGGGATCGTCGTCATCGTCCTGGTCCAGAAACTGGACGTTTGAGTCGTTCACTGCAGACACACACACACACACACACACGGACTGTTAGGAATGTGTTTCATTAAATGAGGAGTCTTATTAAAAATTTTCACAGAAAATAACAGGGTCAAAATTGAACTCTTTTTTTTTTCAGCACCCAATGCAAGAATTTGGCAAGTCAATGAACTGGTGCAACTTGCCAGTGCAGCAGCCAATAAATTTAATAAGAACTTTAACAAGCACTTTAAAGATTATCTAGATGGAAGATTTTCTTCAGACCTTGATGATATGTATTATGAGTCAGTCTGATAAAACATGACAAAAGAAAGGTTATTACAGTTCCCTTTCAGTCAGTCACGTTCGACGTTACGTCAGCAGTGACTGACGAATTGGGATCTCGCCAGAGAGCCCAATCACCTTCGAGTGTTAACAAAACAAGTCAATGAATGTTGGCGTGCGAGCTTTGCATCGCGCACCCCGCCCCGCAGCGCAAGTATATAAGGAGAGCGCGTGCAGTCGCACATTCAGCTTTTCGCTGAGGAGCCGAGCCTTTCTGCTTGAGCAGTCACAGAAGAGAGTGTCTTGGAGGGCATCTTTTTCTGCCCGAAACAGAGCTAGTGCCTCTTCCGTCCTCACTACCCTCAACGGCGGGGCGGCTAAGGTGTATGTGGAGATCCCCCCCAGTCGAGCGCGCTATTGCGATGCAGCTTTGCCCGCAGAGCACTGCTGCCTGGCAGGGTAATCCACGCCTCCCGTCCAGAGCTTGTAAGTTCTCGTCCGCTCTAACAGCCAAGGCTTACAGAGCTGCTGGACAGGCCGCCTCCGCCCTGCACGCCATGGCCCTCCTGCAGGGGTGGCTTAGGGGTATGTGGAGATTCCCCCAGTCGAGCGCGCTATTGTGATGCAGCTTTGCCCGCAGAGCGCTGCCGCCTGGCGGGGTAATCCACGCCTCCCGTCCAGAGCTTGTAAGTTCTCGTCTGCTCTAACGGCCAAGGCTTACAGAGCTGCTGGACAGGCCGCCTCCGCCCTGCATGCCATGGCCCTCCAGCAAGTCTACCAGGCCAAGGCGTTGAAGCAGCTGCACGAGGGTAGTTCTGACCCGGGTGTGATAAAGGAGCTGCGCACTGCGACGGACCTCACCCTACGGGCGACGAAAGTCACAGCGTGGTCCCTGGGTCAGACGATGTCCACCTTGGTGGTCCAGGAATGCCATCTTTGGCTGAACCTGGTAGATATGAGGGAGTCCGACAAACACCACTTCCTGGACTCCCCGATCTCCTAGGCTGGCGTCTTCAGCGACGCAGTGGAGAGCTTCGTCCAGCAGTTCTCCGCCGCACAGAAGCAGATGGAGGCAATTAAGTCAACACCCCGTCACCTCGGTGGGTTATGGCCAATCCTGGACCTGCGCGTTCTGAACCGAGCCCTCCACACACAGGCTCCCGTTCAGGATGTTGATGCAGAAACGCATTTTTCAATGAGTTCACCCACATGATTGGTTCGCAGCGATCGACCTGAAGGACGCGTACTTTCATGTCTCGATCCTCCCTCGACACAGGCCATTTCTCCGCTTCGCGTTCGAGGGGCGAGCATATTAGTACAAGGTCCTCCCCTTCGGGCTACACCTCAGCCGGTTGGGGCTTCGGGTCAACTGGGAAAAGAGCAAACTCTCCCCGGTGCAGGGGATCTCTTTTCTTGGTGTGGAGCTTGACTCTTGAGTGTGACACTATGACAGCATGCCTCTCGGAGGTTCATGCCCGGTCATTGCTGACCCAGCTTTGCATTAGAGGGTTGGGCATATCAGTACAAGGTCCTTCCCTTCAGGCTGTCCCTGTCGCCTCGTGTCTTCACGAAAGTGGTGGAGGCACCCCTTGTTCCATTGAGGGAAAGAGGCATTCGCATTCTCAACTACCTTGACGACTGGCCCAGTCTCGAGCGCAGTTGTGCGAACACAGGGACGTGGTACTCAGCCACCTCAGCCAGTTGGGGCTTTGGGTCAACTGGGAAAAGAGCAAACTCTCCCCCATGCAGAGGATCTGTTTTATCTGTGTGGAGTTAGACTCGGTGAGTATGACGGCGCGGCTCACCAGCAAGTGTGCCCAGTCAGTGCTGAACTGCCTGAGTTCCTTCAGAGGCAGGAACGTGGTATCTCTGAAACACTTTCAGAGGCTCCTGGGGCATATGACATCTGCAGCCGCAGTCACGCCGCTCAGATTGCTTCATATGAGACCACTTCAGCACTGGTTATGCTCCTGAGTCCCGTGCAGAGGATCTCTTTTCTCGGTATGGAGTTGGATTCGGTTAATCTAACAGCACATTTCTCAGTAGAGTGTGCCCAGTCGATGCTGAACTGCCTGGAGTCATTTCAGAGCAGGAAGACGGTCCCACTGAAACAGTTTCAGAGGCTCCTGGGGCATATGGCATCCGCTGCCATGGGCACGCCGCTTGGATTGCTTCATATGAGACCGCTTCAGCGTTGGCTTCACGACCGAGTCCTGAGATGGGCATTGCAACGCGGCACTCACCAGGTCTCAGTCACCCCGTCCTGCCACCAGACTTTCAGCCCGTGGTGGGACCTTGCCTTTCTTCGGGCGGGAGTTCCCCTAGTGCAAGTGTCCAGGCATGTTGTTGTCTCAACAGATGCCTCTGCCATAGGCTGGGGAGCCATGTGCAATGAATAGGTGCCCATGTGTAGTAACATTCATTGGCTTGTTTTGTTAACACTCGAAGGTGATTGGGCTCTCTGGCGAGATATTTCTCATTTTCATTTAGCTTAACTTGATGTACAAAAATAAATAAACATATGAAGGTGATTGGGCTCTCTGGCGAGATATTTCTCATTTTCATTTAGCTTAACTTGATGTACAAAAATAACTAACTGAAATAAAAATTAATAAAAACTATATAGACATTAAAAAATAATAGTAATAATAATAAAAATGACAAAAATTCACAACAAAATTACTAAAACTTTAACAAAAATTAAAATGAAAACAGAAAATATAAAAAATTACAACCAATTCAAAATAAAAAATACATTCAAAAATTCATAATTTGCATAAAGGTGGACCATTTAAGATTTTTTTTTTAATTATTAAATTATTTTCATGACAAGCAAAAAAATGAAAATGCATAAAATCTGGCAAGTAAATAAAATAAAACTTACATTGCTGGTAAATGTATTAAGAAATGTATTTGAAGTCAAATGGAAAGAACAATAAGATCAATAATATATATATGACAAAAACAAAACCTGACAAAAATAAATTTACAAAAAATTACAATTTAAATATAAAATAAAAACTAATTCTTAAAGGGTTAGTTCACCTTTATAGTTCACAATTATAGTTCACATCTTACGTCATCAGCCCAGAGCTGCTTCTGTGTACAACTGTTGGCGCAAGCTACATTAAAGTGATTATTACGTTTTGAATATGGATTTTTTTTCTTACAAAAACACATCAATTCGCTACAGGAGGCCTTTGTTCACCCCCCGGAGCCGTGTGAGACACTTTTTATTATGGATGGGCGCTTTTTATTTCACTTCTTTTGGACTGATGCACTGCAACACCCGCTGAGTGCCATTAAACAGCTTGAAGGATCAAAGACAATTATTAATATAACTCTGACTGGATTCGTCTGAAAGAAGAAAGTCATATACACCTAGGATGCCTTGAGGGGGAGTAATTTATGGGCTAATTTTCATTTTTGGGTGAACTAACCCTTTAACATTAACAAATAAAAATGATGTAAAATGCAGTGGTCAGTAAAAATTATTTATTTAAAACTATTATAGTTTTTATCAATATTTGAATGTTTTTATTTTTAGACTTAATTTTAAAATATTGGCCAAACAAACAACAAATTTACTAAAATTAAAATAGAAAATATAAAAACTAATTGAAAATATTAATAAATCAAACATTACCAAAAATGCTGGTTCATGGTAAAAAAAAAAATCATTTATGGCCAGAAATGTTGTCGATTAATTGTCAGAAGCAGCAGGAAGTTCATTTCTGACCCTGAGCCATTGAGTTTCCTGTCAGAGAAACTCAGAAACACGTAACGGAGTGACAGATCATCTCTGAACTCAGATTCGATCGGTTTGACAGGAACCAGCAGCGCGTCTCGCCACACAGAAGCACACAGGATTCACAGCATGCTGCAGAAACACTCATGCCAACAGCGAAAAACACCAGAGAGGAACAGAAGAACAGCAGAAACCTCCACAGAGCGACAGGAACACCAGCCATTCTTACCCAGCTCAGTTATCATTGGGATGTTGTTCCCGCTGCTCTTGTCCTGGCTCAGAGAAACCAGGGGCAGCGACTTGTCTGTTTTAGCTAGCAGCATAACACAACCAGTTACCAAAACCAACCGTTTAGTTGTTTTACACTTTGCAACCATAAACCTAGAAACTAGCTTCAAAATTATTTTCAGGAACCGTTGTTAAAACAGCCGTTCACACTCAAATGCTTTGGGGTCAGTAGGAGTTTTTACAATAAGGTTCCATTTGTTAACATTAGTAAACTTCATTAGTTAAACTATCAATAAAATATTCTAAAGCATTTATTCATCTTCGTTAATGTTTATTTCAACATTTACTAATAATAATTATTAAAATCACAGGTATGTGCTAATATTATTTAATTGGCCTGAGCTAACATGAACTAACTATGAACAGCTGTATTTTTTATTAATTAATGTCAGGGTTAATATAGTTAACTAAAGCTAAAAACATAAACATTTATTTCAAGTAATGAAATTAAAATTAAATTAAATTAAATGAAACCTCAAACTTATTTCTGCTAGTTGCCAAGGCAATAGTACTCATTGTTTTAAATAAATTTAGTTTAATTATTATTTATATTTAAATATATTTTATAGGTAATATTTAAATTAAAGCTGCAGTCCGTAACTTTTTTGTGTTCAAAATGTGCAAAATTTATATAATAAGCGAGTACACCATGAATCCATTTTCCAAACCGTGTTTTTGGCTTGTCCTGAATCACTACGGTACACCTATAATAAGTGTTTATATTTGGACTAATTAGACTGGTTTGGGTAGGTGCCGCTGCGGAGGAGCCCAGTACCTGCGTTATTCGTCATAGACATAAACAGAGAGAAGTAGATCCGGATACAATGTTCTTCCGCAAGACGCACGCAGTTCTGTTTATTAACCGCTAGAGTGCCAAAAGTTACGGACTGCAGCTTTAAGTTAAATCAAATATTTAAAGTGTTAAATAAAAATTTATAAAAAACTATACACACAATTAAAAAAAACTAATACAATTCAAATACAAAAAATAACTCATTTTTGAAAATTTGCTCATTGTGACTCATTTTGCCAACACAGGTGACAAATCTTTACTGTCCCTTTTAATCAATTGAATGCATCCTTGATGAATAAATGTATTAGTTTGGGCTTAAAAGTGAGTGATTCTCACCGAGCTCTGTGATGATGTGAATGTTTGCTCCAGTGGTTATGGACGCCTGTCGCACCAATCCGTGTACGGGACTGTTCTCCGGAGACGAGCGATCCATGCCAGGAGGAGTGAAACCTGGAGCAGAGCACAAAAATACATGAATACAGTGCCATGTTAAATCAACCAAATTTCAGAAACTTCCCCAGCTCAAATTTTTTATTTTGTTAATATTTTTCCTAAAGAAAGGCAAACATAAATAGTGATGAAAGCCAAAATATTAAATGTCATGGATGCATATTTAATGAGTAATCCACTATTTTGTAGAGGGGCGTCAAAATTACATTTTCACCTGAGATTTGGAGCCAAATTACAGGGGTGTAAAAATGACTTCAGAAAGATGGGAGCATCATTATGTTATTTTCACACAGAGATTAGTAGCACTATTAGTAAAATCTGTTGAGTTAAGCAATCTTTGTTGCATTATATGCCAATGGTGACCATTCAAAAATGGGAAAAAAGCACATTTCAAGTTTTGTCTCTAAGGTTTGCATGCATGTAGCTCACGAAGCATTAAAGATATCTTAATATCCTTTTAGATTTTGGGTCTTAACAAACTTTCCTTTTCGTATCTTATTTTTAGCAGTCAAAAACCAAATGTTGTTGACTTTGTATACAGCTGATACTTACTGAATTTAAAGTGGAATGTCTGAAGTACAAATAATTTTGAAACTATAAATGTATCCTCTTTCCCTCTATCAAAACAAATGCATAGAACATAGATGTCTGAGTGCCATATAACTAAAACAATTTACTCAAGGAGCCACATTACAATCCCAATATCTCTGGAAATGAACCACACAGGGCCACAGGGCCTTACCAAATCGGTACTAAAAAAATTAAAACGTTACGGTACCAGGTTTTCTTAAGTACCGGTGGTACCGAATACCCGGTCAACCCGGTTCTTGATGCGCTAAACGAAAGCTATCCTCTTCCAATGTTGCCAAGTCTGCGGTTTTCCCGCAGAATTGGGCTGCTTTAACACTGTTGCCGCGGGTTGTTTTTCATGTCCCCGGGTTGAAAAACGACCCCACTAACGTGATATTTAGCCCCGGAATGTGAAGTTTACCTTGGGAACCCCGCCAAAACGCGTATTTTATCCCCGGAACGCGATTTTTAACGGGGGACCCCCTCGAAACGCGACCGTGACAACACTAACTGGCATATAATGCAACAAAGATGGATAAAGTCAACAGATTTTACTAATAGGCCTACCAATCTCTGTGTAATCATAAAATGATCATATACTGCCAACTTTATAAAATCATTTTTACCATCCTGTAATTTGGCTCCGAATCATAGGTGAAAATGTCATTTTGAACCTTCTCTACAAAATAGTGCATTACTCATTAAATATTCACCCGTGATGCTTAAAGGGGTCCTATTTGGCTTTTTCACTTTTTCAACTTTAGTTAGTCTGTAATGTTGCTGTTTGAGCATAAAAAAGATCTGCGACAAAGCTCAAAGCTCAAAGTCCACTTCAAAAGGAGATATTTTATTTAACAGAAATCACTTTCAAAAACTACAACGAACGACTCGTTTGGACTACAA